TAAAACGAAGCACCCAAACTGGCCAAGCTCTTGTCTTAACACTCATCCTAGTACAAGCTCAATGCGGTTAAGTGCTCCTCCCCAGGCCATCCAGAGTGGGGGCAGCAGAGGCTGCTGGCACCTCTCTCCTCTGATCTCATGCCTTCAGCAAGCAGCTGCCCCAGAGACACCATCACCACCACTGCCACCCCCCAGGCACTCACATGACCTGCTTCTCCTGCAGGTTAATGGGTGGCATAGCTCGGAGACCAGGCTTGCTTGTCGAGGTACCATCACCTGAGCTGAGTGGGTCTGGAACCAGGAGCCCGTTGAGATCCCCATTGTAGGTGTTAGATGGCCGCTGGCTCTCTGCACTGGGGCCTGGGAGCAGACAGGGCCACCCTGATGAGATTATCAGACCTGCCCACTAGCCTCTCCTCCTGCAGAGCTTCCTTCCAGAACTGTGAGGTGTTCTCAGATTGCTTGACTGAGAGAGGCATGTCCACAGTGAGGAGAGTGACTGTGGGCCCTTTGCTCATCCCTTGTTCCACAACCCAATGTGTGCCAGGACCAAAAATGAGCATGAGGCTGTTCTACCTTGGGGAGGGCCCTCTGATGCTAGTTAACATGCAGCCCAGGTCAGCACAGGGGTGTCGGGTGGCATGTGGTGGAGGAAGGGACCCTGTTCACATGAGGGAGGGCGTGGGAAGGGTCAGGAAAGACTTCATAGAGGAGATGCCATCACAGCCAACATGGCCAGAACACACAAACCATGGGAGAGAAGAGAAGGACAAGGCTGCACAGGCCCTGGGTATGATACTGGGGTGCTTAGATTTTCTCTGTGGGCAATGAGAGCTACAGAACAGTTTTAAACCAGAAGACGACAGCTCTGGTCAGCAGGCTGATGGCTCTAAGGCAGCGTACAAAATGGCTGACACTCTGGGTGAAAGATACACAGCGCCTGAACCAAGACAGGAGCCCTGGTGGCACAGTGGTTAAAGGGCTAGGCTGTTAACTGAAGGGTCGGCAGTTCAAACCCACCAGCAGCTCCACAGGAGAAAGATGCAGCTGTCAGCTTCCATAAAGATTTACAGCCTTGGAAGCCCTATGGGGCAGTTCTACTCCGTCCTGTAGGGTCACAATGAGTTGGAATCAACTTGATGGCAGTGGGTTTGCATTTTTGGAACCCAGACAGTGGCAGGAGTTAGAGTGGAGACACTGGTAAGATATGGGAGTGAGAAAGGAAGGAGTCTGACCCACACAGAAATGGTTCAGAAGATGCCACCTTGGAAAGGTAAATTCAGCAGGAATGGACACTGAGGGGCTGGACAAAGAGAAGGGAAACTATGGGGTGGGGTATAGAGTCAGGAAAAACAGCATTTCAGTTGTTTGCCACTGGCTGAGCCTTAAGCATTCTCATAGGCTCAGGCACCTAAAACTCACTCCCAAAACTCCTAGGGGGCAAGGAGACGGGCTTCACGTTCAGGAACATAGAAAGTTTCTAGTCACAAAACAGTCTAGGTCTGACATGGTGCTCTAGTGAAAGGGGACAAACAAGAGCTAGTTGGCAAAGAGGGAAATCAAGTGTCAATCAACAAACACAGGAATTATGAGGAAAGCCTTCAGACCATGTCACTTGAATCAAAGTCCCCTTAAGTGCTCAGGGGTAAGCTGACAACTCTCCCTCCCAGGCCAGCTACCACGAGGACAAACAGCAGGCCTATGCTTCACAAAGTTGGCCATGACACGTTATACCAAACCGTTTCTTAGTCTGCCCAGCAGCTGAGGAGCCAGTCCTGTAGGCAGCCTGAGAGTCCCAATCAAACTTATGAGTAAAAGAGCACACACTCCATGCCTGGGGCAAAGAGGCCAGTGGTCTCAGGCAGCAAATCAATTTGCTCAGGGAGTGGAGGTGGCTAAACCTACCAAGTGAGCACCAGTGCCTGTTCCCAGAAGCAGCCACTTTGGGCCTCCCAGAATGCACAGAAACAGAGCCTGAGAAAACAATTCTCAGCTTTGGCCACTGCACAGCCCACCACCATCACTAGCCAGTCCTTTAACAACCACATCTTTTCCTGAACCTGCCAGGAAACTTTGATGTCTTGTCTGTGCATTTCCTCTTTGTGAAATACTTATCCCAACATCTAAGCTCCCATTCACATCACAAGATGGAATCTAAACATTGTTTCCTCTCTCAGACCTGTTCTCAGGCAAGGGTGGCCTGTACTCTCCAACCCCACCCTCTCCCATTACAGCACCAGAACACTTCTCTCTCTCCATGACAACAGCATTATTTCACAATCCTGTTAACTCTTCTTTGTCCTGGGGGCTTCTTGCGGGGGGTGGGGGCAGCTCTGAGATATCAAACAAACCCAAGTGAAGTTTGAATGAATGGAAACAAATTAGGGTTTGCGGATGTTTGTGGCCTATCTAATCTGGGCTGTACAGTCTGTGATTTGCCTTCACCCCAGAAAGAGCACAGAACCAGGGCTGGCCACCTCTCTCCTGGAAATTAGTTTCAGAACAGCAAGCCTGAAGTTCTCATTCCAGAGAGAAGGATGACTTGTAGAGAACGGCAGCTCCTCAGCACAACACCTAGGTCCAAACCTGGGACTTGGCATACAGAGCCTGGATCAGGCCTCTGCACCATGGCGAAAAGGTAGGGGCGCCAGACCAGTCACAGGAACACCCGCGGAGGGACCCACAGATTCAGGGAAGAGGCCTCACCTTCAGCCTGGGCGCTGAAGGACAAGGCAGCACAGCCCGATGCCGGTGTGGGGGAGGGGCCGCACCCGGGGTCTGCACCCTTCGCGGTACACGCTCAAGGATCTACGGCGCCGACCCGGATCAGCCTTCACCGGCTGGATCTAGAACCGGTCCTGAGGGTCTTGAGAGAGGTTCGGACCCGCGCCGCCCTTCTGCCCGCCCGCCGAGGGCCCATCCCCGTAGTCCCCGCTCACCCCCTGCGGGCCGGTCCAGCTTCAGAATGTCCCGCAGGTGCTGCGTGGCGTCCTCGATGTCGATACTCGCGCAGGAGTCCATGGGCCCCGCCGCGGGCTCTGCGCCCGCGCTGGTACGTTCCTCTGCCTCCGCGCACCGCCCCGCCGCGTCAGAGCCAGACAGCGGGACGCCGGTCACTGTACTCAGTCCACCCGCAGCCCGCAAACCACCACCCGCTCGGCGCCCCTGAGCGTCGCCAGCCCAACTAACCGCCTCCACTTCCGGCCCTCCAAGTCTCGGTTCCCGGAACCTGCCCGGACCGGAGAAGAAAGGTTCCGGGATAGGGGCGGACGGTTCACTCCTCCCCAAGCCTGTAACCCGCGGTGTCAGCAGGGTCCCGGGGAGTTCCGCAGGGTTGATGCCCAGCGTGTCCACGTACTGTGGCGCTCAAAGCCATACGCGCTTCAGATCCCGCCCGGTCTATCCCCGCTCCCGAGGAGCGAATTCTCTGATGGGCCCAGTACCGGGTCACGTCGGCCCACTCAGGCTGTGGTCTCTCAGACTGCTGAGCAGGCAGCATGTTTTCCCGTTAAGGAAATGGGTCGGTGTAAACCAAGGCTTGAGGGGCACCTGCGAGGTCCTAAGGCCCAGGAATAGCAATGACAGGGGAGATGGTCCCACTACAATGACCACAGTCACTGTTCCCTACTGCCCCAGCATCCCCTTGCCCCACCTGGCACCCTCAGGCAGGAAGAAAGAAACCATCATTTACAAACACCTCTTTATTGCAGACATTTCAGGCACAGGTACATGAAAGGAGCTGTATTGCAGATTTTATACAGGGTGGTTTAAGAGGCAGCAGGCATCTAGCGCTCCCCAACCCCTACCCCCCAATACACAGCAGCCTAGAAACCAGTCCCACTGAAATCTCCTGAGTTTGTTGTCTTCTCAAACAGCAGACCATCCAGCCCTGTGCCCAGTGTAGCCAGGCAACCTGTAGGGTCTGAGGAAGTCTTTGTCCTCCATCCACAGTGCTGGTGGTGTTTGTTTACAGGTTAGGCTTAGCTGTGGTGCCCTCACCAATCCTAAGACCCCCTACCTGGGGCATCAGCCCAAGTCCTGAGGTTGGTTCTAGCCTGCAGCTTCCACCTTGCCACCAGGTTTACACCACCCAGTGGTCTCATGGCTGAGGAACTAGACTTACACTGGGCAAGGCCTCTGTTCTCAAAATTGAGGAGCAGAAAAGGCCCAAATAGCTAAGACTTCCTGGGACTTGAAGACAGTGTAAAAGTGTGTATGTGTGGTGAGGGAGGGACTAGAAGGGAAGCCTGGAGATGTCCTGCAGAGGTTTGAGGGGTGAGAACTCCAGGAGCACAAAACCCTCAAAATCACTCAGATTGCCTTCTTCCATAGCTCCAAATCTATACTCCAACTCAACTGGACTTAGCTCTGTGGTCATTGGAGGCTGGCTGTTCTGGCCGCTTACCTTTGGGCAATGATACATAAAGCAGGTAGCAGTACAGAATCTGAGTTGCCGTCTGTTGGCTTAGGACTTGTGGGGTACCCTGGATGTAACCTGACCCTTCTAGGATAGGGGTGTGAGAGCAGGCCCCCTTTAATCCCCCAAATCTCTGTTCATCCTTGATCTTTACCAAGACCTCAGCCCAGAAGACCTGGACCTGATAAGGTTTTTGCCAAGATCTCTCCAGCTTCAAGGGGATTCAGGGTCTACCTTCCTCCTAGAGAGCCTGGCTGTCATAATCAGACACCTCTCCTGCTACTGGAGTCATAAACCGACCCACGGGAGAGGTCACCAGGTGTCAGAACAGACCTGAACACCCCCCCGACCCCCGTCTGCAGCTGACTTCCCCAAGGCAAGGTAGGGGGGAGGGGAACGCTGTGCCCTACAGGCCTTCTGAGAGAAGCTAGCCAAGAGTGCTGCTTCAGCAGTCTTCTGCTTGCAACAACAGGTATTGCTGAGTTAGGGCAGACGTGGGAGGGTGAGACATGAGAGGGACAATGGGGCAGAGTAGTATTTGATGCCCAGCCAACTATTAAACTAATTAAAACAATTTAAACTGTTAAGAAAATTTTCGTGGTTTTATTTTATAATGAGGCATTGAAACATCTGAACAAATCAATATCTGGGCGGTGAGGCAGCTGCTTTCTCCTTCACTTCTTTGGGTTACTAGAGCAACTTGTCAGTAGATTTAAAAAAAAAAAAGACAACCTTTTGCTTTACTTAAGTCTTTCCAAGGCATGCGCTGGTACAACACAAACTTCTCCTGTCAGATGCAACTAGTCTAGCGTCCAAACATCATGCACAACACCTCGGTGGCAGCAGCGCACTGCGCCCACTCCCACTGTGGCCCTGCTCGTTTGTGTATGATATTTGGAGCATCTGGAGGAGTGTGAATAGTATCGGGAAGAGGAGGGAGAAGGAAACAGCATGAGTGCCTGGCTGGGAGGAGGTCAGCCAAAGTTGTGCAGAGCAAGCCTAAACATGTCATTGGTGCAGACCCAAGCATCGTTGATGTTCTTTAATAGGAACATCTGGTGAAAGCCCATGATGGGGTCTTCATCAGCCTGCGAAGAGAGAGAAAATGGTTCAGTAAGGGAACCAAAGGATAGGAGGGAGGTTCAATGGTAGGAGAACAGGGCAAAGAATGTTGACTTTGGGACCAGGCCCTACTGTCCTGGACTCAAATCCTAGTAGCCAAAGAGTACCTGTGGATATGAACTGACAAAAATATGAAACGCTGCACTGGGCACACAGCAGGGGCCAGTAGACAGCTGCTCACACTGCAGTGCATCTCAACTGCAGATCAGCTCATCAGTTAGCTACAGCAACACAGCAGAGAACACACCTGCCTCTTCGCCCATGTCTCTGGAACAAATGATGACAATTTTGAAAGAATCCCACAGTGCTCACCACACTCACCTACAGTATCAAATCCTGTAAAAAATCTAAGTGTTTGAGAATGGCAGTCAGTCCAATCCAGAGAGACTACCCCTAACACTGACTGTGGCCAAGAAAAAAGTATGGGAGAAAAGGTTCAAAATTGAGTTCACAATGTGATCATAGCTCTACAGGGGAAAAAAAACAAAACAACCATCGGGTGATCTGTTTCCTGTCATATATGACCTTATTATGAAAAAGGAAAGCCAAATTGCACAAAACCAGGGTGAGGTCTAGTTGAGGTAGAAGCTCAGGAGCCCAGCTAACTAGCCTGGTCTCTAACATCACCTGTTTTTCTGGGAATTATCAGCAGGAAGAAGGCAAACCAATCTTTTGGGGGCTCTGAGTTGAAGAACCTGAAGCAAGGTAGGAGGGGCACTATTTACTGACCCCAGCCAGGGTTAAGCGGGCACTGAGCTCCCTGGAGAGGCCTCCTCTACCCCCAGGGCCAATTCGGGCAGGGCATCCCGGCCAGGCAGGAGAAAAAGACAGAAAGCAGGTGCCTCTGGGTCCACTGCAGAGACCTAGGGGCCCCTTCACCCCATATGGGATACATAAAGCCACCGCCCACCCAGCACGGCCTAGGGAGAAAGCATGTGTGCCTGCTATTGAGCCCATCATAAGCACAGGCCCAGGGGGTTGGGACCTGCCAAGGGCCAGTCAATTTGTCCTGCTTTGGGAAAAAGGAGGAGCTTTTTGGAAGCTGAGAATCTAGCCTTGGTCTGTTGGGGCACAACAGGTAGGAGTTCAGAGAGAGGCTTTGGGGGCTGAGGAGCCAGAGGAAGGCTTTGAGGATAGCAGGTCCTGAGAAGGGAAGGGCAATGCAGAGAGAAGCAGGAGTTCCAGGACCCTGCCGCACCCTGCAGGCAGAGAAGCCAGAGGCCAGCCTAGAGACTCATGGACTCCACTAGAGGACTGCAGGCCCATTCACATCTCACGGCACCACAGCCCTGTCCTGCCCTCACTCCTTCAGCTCCTTCTGTCTCTTCCAAAAATGCTCTAGACCAGTGCTCTCCAATAGAACTTTCTGTGCACTGTCCAATAGGTAGTCACTAGCCACATGTGACTACTGAGCACTTGCAATATGGCTAGTGCAACTGAAGAACTGAATTTTTGATTTATTTTTAATGAACACGATTTAAATGTTGCCACATGTGGCCAGTGGCTATTACATTGAACTACGGAGCTCTGGACAGTCTCTTTGTCTGGGTGTCACATCCACACAGAAGGCAGGGACTCGGGGTTCTTTTCTGCCTTTCAACTCCTCCCTAGCACTGCAGTAGTGCTGTTACCTTCAGCTGGCCCACAACCATGCTGATGATGCAGCTATCTGGCGTGGGCTGATGGTCCTGTGCCGTAATGCTGTGCTGGATTTTCTGGAATGGAAGGCTCTGCAAGATAAAGAATAGGCAAGAGACTAAGCGAGGGCAACAGGGGCAGGGAAGGAGGCTGCCCGCACCTGGCCCTGACCATTACTTACAGACAATTTCTCCACAATGGCAGCTTTCCCCTGGAACTGCTGTCCTTCCCACGTAAGGCATGACGCATCAATCTGAAAAACACACCAGAAACCTCAGGGTCAAAGCACAAGAAGTATCTCTGAGAGCCCTAACTATGGCTCTGAAAAGGGTCTTGCTGGGGAAAGTGAATCCATACTTCAGTTTCCCTGTCTGTAAAGAGGGGTTGTGGGTAGCTTCCAAACTTTATATTATCGACAACTTCCTTATTGACACCCATTATCCCATGGGCCCAGGTTTAGAGCCTGTCAGAGACTGTTTAACAAAGTACACTTATTAGGTAAGTTCAATTCCCAGTTTTTTTTTTAAATTGTTGTACTTTAAGTGAAAGTTTACAATTCAAGTTAGTCTCTCATACAAAAATTTATATATACATTGTTATGTGACCCTAATTGCTGTCCCTATACTGTGACAGCACACTCCTCCTTTCCACCCTGGATTTCCCGTGTCCATTCAACCAGCTCCTGACCCTTCCTTCTCATCTCACCTCTGGACAGGAGCTACCCATTTCGTCTCACGTATCTACTTGAGCTAAGAAGCATACTCTTCGCGAGTATCATTTTATGTCCCACAGTCCAGTCTAATCTTTGTCCGAAGAGTTGGCCTTGGGAATGGTTTTAGTTTTGGGGTAACAGAGAGTCAGGGGGCCATGTTTTCCAGGGTTCCTCATCTCAGTCAAACCATTAACTCTGGCCTTTTTACCAGAATTTGAGTTCTGCACTCCACTTTTCTTCTGCTTCATCAGGGACTATCTGTTGTGTTCCCTGTCAGGGCGGTCACTGGTGGTAGCAGGGCACCATCTAGTTCTTCTGGTCTCAGGCTGATGCAGTCTCTGATTTATGTAGCCCTTTCTGTCTCTTGGGCTAATACTTTTCTTGTGTCTTTGGTTTTCTTCATTCTCCTTTACTCCAGGTGAGTTGGGACCAATTGATGCATCTTAGATGGCCGCTCACTAGCTTTCAAGACCCCAGATGTCACTCACCAAAGTGGGATGCAGAATGTTTTCTTAATAAGCTTTGTTATGCCAACTGACCTAGATGTCCCCTGAAACCATGGTCCCCAGACCCCTGCCCCTGCTACTCTGTCCCTCCAAGTGTTTGGTTTATTCAGGAAACTTCTTAGTTTTTGGTTTAGTCCAGTTGTGCTGACTTCCTCTGTAGTGTGTGTTGTCCTTCCCTTCACCTAAGATAATTCTT